TTTTTTTTGCATAAACTCGCATAACAAAGAAAAGGAGCAAACAATTAACGTGAGCAGGCTAATAAAACTATAGTGATGAAGAAGGATTCATGTTTATTAGAAATAAGAAAAGATCTCCAATGCATTGGAAACACTAGAAATCACTAACATAGATTAACTTGAATTTTTGTATTTCCAACCTAACATTGTGCAGACCAACCCACTCTACTTGAGGTGATTTGACCATAACTTGTCTACAACCAAGCCTCAAGCTGTGATTCTGGACCGACCCTTCGCAATTCGCCGAGCAATAACCCTCCGGCCACCTTTTGTTGCTTTCCTGTCCAGGATACAGAACATGTATTAGTTAATAGCATGACACAAACGACACACATAATCGATGCCAGTGGTGTCAATGATGGACATAATGTGGCTAATTTATTAATGGAAGGAAATATTTTTCTGAGAGCTAGATCTACCGTTTATGTTTAAAAAGAGGTGTAGGTCTCACGTTTATATTTGGGGAAGTGGGATAGGTAGGTCGCAAATGGAGGATGGGACAAACAGAGGAAACAGGAAGAGAAAGAAAGAAAAAACAAGAGATATTTGCAGAAAAATGATTCGTGATTTTTGATACCATGCCTAGATACTTTCATGCAAAAACAGATGTCCATAACCCATAGAATGTAAGGAAGATGCCAGCAAGAGACGGTAATCCTTGTCTACAAATACCAGTTTATCATAAATCACCATTATAATTTCATCATATTCATGAATCAACATTCTAGATAGAGACGCAGAGGTACCGTGCAAAGAATCCATGGGTTCTTTTGCGCCTGATGTTGCTTGGTTGATATGTTCGCTTTGGTAATAAAAGCATAGGCTCATTTGATGAAGAACCATCTCCTGTGTAGGATAAATAAAGAAGAAAAATCATAAAACAAATTTTGCAGGTAGCAAACTAACCAAGAAAATAAAGCAATTGCGCAAACTTCAACTCTTGCTTTTCAATTTAAAATGGTGAACGAAAGTAGCGCTCATCACCTCATTTAACGAACGGTAAACCAATCCTAATAGAAGGAAGCTCAGTACTTCTTTTTCTTTTTTCCATTTCCTTTTTTTTTTGGGTCAGAAGGCTCGATGCTGATAGGAGTAAAAAGAATCACTGCGACTTAATCTAGCTAGATAAACTCACAAACACTCTAAACAATGAATTCAGTCGCTCAAAAGTTCTTCACTTACAGACCCAAATCAAGACTTCGACAAACCTTCTTAGCGTGGCATAATCTTTCCAAAAGCATCCTTTTGATAATGGTTATCATTGCTTAGATTGAAGAGACACATAGCTGAGTCATCATGAAAACTTACAGTTCACTATCCGTTGGAACACGAACCCACTAATAATTGTAAATCCCAATCTCTTGAAATTTCTCCTCATTCCAGATTCAATTTTTTGGGAAATTTCAGAAACAGTAGCTTCACTAGTGATTCTTTATTGTGTTAAATAGGTTGTTGCCTCATTAATTACTAAAAAACCAGCCAAATCCATCAAATAAGTTAGCCACGTAAAAAATTCGTACGAACTTGCTCAATCATTAATGTAATGAAGAAAACATATTTTCAGGAAAAAGGCATAATACAATAAAATACTCTTCATAGAACAAGCTATCCTTGCTAATTATAAAAAAAAAAATATTCCACCACACTAATTGATGTTCACCAACAAATTAGCAGAAAAGAGAGAGGATATGCCTTAACTAACGCACCATACCAGGTAGAACAAGACTTCTAAGTTGATTGCCAATCACAAACTTAACAACGTTGTGCCTTGCCTTGATTCATAGCTGAAGGCTTTCTTGAACTTCACTATACAAGAATGAGGATATTCCTTAACTAATGCACCGTACCAGGTAGAACAAGACTTCTAAGTGCAGGCCCCCAAGATAACCTAAAAGATCTTTGCAACACTCCAAATCCCAAAGATAGTGACACAAACGAAGAAGAATTAAGAAATAGAATACTTGATGACAAAGCCACTAATCGCATAGCAGATACAAGGGAAAAGAATATACAACCATGCATTCACCTTCACCTACACAATTAACCACGTCCATGTCACAAGGCTAAGGTTGCAAGGCGTGATTTGAGAATAAACCAAGTGAAACAAATCAAATTAGAAACACATATGGTGACCATTTAAAATTTACCAGGAACATTAATATAGTTGGACTATACGACTTCAAAAATAAGTATAATGAAAACCCTTATCAAGGTTAGTCTTTTCATTCATTTTCAAATTTCAAAAAGAAGATCTCAAGTCACCAACTATAAACTTCACAAGCAAATTCTTGCCTATCCTAGCACAATATAGTGGATATATCAACACATCAACATCATTTTACTCCTAACACTAAACACTGCTTAGCATGAATGTAGATGTGGAAATTGAAAGGGAAATACAGTCTTCACTCCTGGTATGTTCTTCTCTAAAAATATGTACATTTCACATTACAAATCTCAAATTTCCAGTAAACAATGTTCAAGAGAACAAGCATATATGTAAATCCATATCTATATATTACTACAAAAGCAAGAGTGCAAGCAATACATACAATATATGCATATATGTGGGAAAATCAGAAATACCTTCTGGAAGGAAGAACGGAAGAAAGGGGAGGCCAGAGGGGTGTAGGAAGACCTCTCTGTGGGATTCGGCGTCGTTTTGGTGCTTTGGAAACTGTAGAAGGGAGTTGTGAGACTGAAGGATGAAGAGCAAGGGGAACAGCTGAGGAGGGGTTACCAACGGGGGATTCCGACAGAGACTCCGGTGGTGGGGAATTGGGTTCTTGTTAACAGCCGGGTTGATGAAACGGTTCATCAGAGAAACTCCGGTGCGAATTAGGGTTTTGGACAACGCCATTTTTGTATTTTGAGTTCGATTTGGTGGGGGTGGCCGGGGGTACTTTTAAGTGGTCATCAAATATGCCATTTTTCACTTTGCTCAAAAATTTTTGTCATTCACCAAAGGGTAATTATATTACCACTACAAATTTTAATTACTACACCACAATTAAAATACATTTTTAATAAATACACCACAATAAATTTACAATTATACTCCTAATTCAATAAAAACAAAAAATTGAAAAAAAAAGAATACAATATTGTGGTGTACTTATCACAATTTTTTTTTTTTTTTTAGAAAATCAATTGCACCACAATCAACATTGTTGTTTCACCCAAATCTTTCCAATGAAACTTCGAAAATAGAGCTTTCTTCCACAATATGTTCTTAAACAAAGACTTTTTTTTTCCCAATAAAACCATCAAAATTTGATCTAAACTTTTGACAGAGAATTTTGTGCACACACCAGATTCGGTATGTCTCCAGGACCTCTGATGAATCCAATTAGTGATTGCCAGGATAAGAAGCAGACCAAATGCAAATTCATTGGAACTGGACTAAATAAATTATCGGGTTCAAATGAGACTGGACTAAATATAGTTCCGAGAGAGAGAGAGAGAGGCCATCATACCGAAAGTGAGTCACAATAACTTCCCGTGTTTGCTCTGCCTATTTCCGATGAGCAGACTCCTTAACATGTTTCGGTGGAGAGAACAACTCAGCGTCCAAGATTGTTGTAGGTGCATTATTTGTAACAGTTTACTATGTAATTAAACTCAAACAAAACAAAAATAAGAAAAACTAGATGCCAAAAATAATTGATCGAGTAAACAAACTAGTTCACCTCTTTGAATATGAATAAAATTATGATGTGCGAGTTTAAGTGGTTCTCTAACACTTGATGGACTAGTGCTATTTTCGACATTTGCTATTTGCAAAACCTTTGACCCGGTTGCTTGGTGTTGTGTGCCTATTCCGCCTTGTTGGTACTTGGATTGTGCT